AGGAGGCGCATGGATTTAAAAAATATATATATTAAGATACATTAAAGCAGATCACAGTTGAAAGCCCCTTTTAGCTCAAAGAGTCTATAAAATAAAAAATGAAGTTGGTGTTCTATGAAATAAATGCTTCAATTTAAAGAAAAAATCCTATTTGTCAAAATAAACAAATTTCTTTAAAGTCATTAGAACTACTTACGCTATTTTTCTCCCTTTTGTGGAAAAATGATTTAAATAAATGCACAAACGTAAAATTCTACACACAAGACTCAAGGTGTTTTGTTTTTGGTTTTAAACATCCTTGAAATATTTATCAACACAAACCAAGTCTGGTAGCATTCCAAGCTAAAACACAACCAGGTTACTCCTACTCGTACTCTGGTTCTAACATTGCTTCAAAACCCTGAAGTTCCATTTCAAGTAAGAAAAAGAAATGAGACATAAAGTCCACGTAATTCTTCCTCAGGCCAAATATATAAAGCTCAATTTTCAATCAAATCTCTCCTCCTACAAATCTTTTGGCCATCTTTGCCTACTCAGCAGCACCACCAGGGATGAAAAGACAGGAGCCCAAACTCAATCCAGTCCGCCTGGCTCTCATTAGCATCGCTGGTAAATGGTTTGCTGAGAAACAACTGGCAATCCCCACACTACTTGTCAATATGAGTTTTGGAAAAATTTTATGGATTTAATCTCTCCTCAGTCCCTATTTCCAGAGATAATTAATCAAAAACTAGGTATTCAGATTTAACTCCTAGAAAAAGGTAATGTCTACACCATCAGCTCCCAACCCCTAAACCTCCCTATCAGATTTTAGGTTATCCTCTGAGACTGGACTTGGGTAGGGAGCATCAGAATAAAAAAAGAGACCTTTAGAAAAAGATGGGATCTCCTACCAAATGCAGCCTCCCTGTCCTACTCCCTCCAAAAACAAGCACAGAGAGAAATTCCAGAAAGTGGATTCCTCCTTCTCTCTATCTACCAAACTAATTCCATTTTGCAGTGTCTCATTTTATTAAAATAAATAAACTTTAGAGTAATGGGAAGAAATACACCTTAATATTAAAATCTTCCATTCCTGAAGGACCCCTGTGAAAATTTGGCAAGATCCTCTCTCATTAAAAACTTTCATATACACAATTTACGGGTTTCAAGGACCCCCTTGAACTGTCAAAGTTAAAAATCCTTGCTCTAGCCTAGAGAATCATGTACTCTTCAATAACCCTATCTCCTCCTTCACGGATGCGAGCCACCCCAAACATCAGATCTGAAACGTAAAGAGCAACAAAATGAAGCCTCCAGTTGCACCTGATGCTTTAAACTACCTCTGTCAAATGTTGGTTCTGCCATTTTTCAGCAATGCTCAAAGGATTTCTGTTTCATTTTCTTGACCACTCAAATTGGGTCTTATCCAAAGCTCTCCTCTCTCTTTCTTTCTTCTTTTTTTTTTTTAACTGAGCCTAGAAGCTTATGACCAAATCACTTCATAAGTGAAGGATAAATGTTTGCTTGAGAACAAAAGCTCCCAGTGAACACTCACCCTCACCACCCCTTTGCAACTCAAGATGTTCAGGATATTGCCAACTGATGTGGCCGTGGGCTGGATCAGAAAGCAAGAACAGAATAAGGACACTCCATTCAACCTTTTTTGTCTGGGGCACTTCCTGGGTTTTTCATTGGCATTTAACACCAAGACACAAGGCTCATTTTTCATTAAAGTTGCAAGACTTTCACTTTGCCCAGTTTCAAATGGTGTAATTGATCTGCATCGTCTTCTTAAATAACCCAACTGAAGGACACTGCAGCTTTAAATATTTCAGTGCTAGCTAGTAAATAGACTCCATTGCAATATGGCTCTGAAGGTCACGTCCCATTGTCTCTTTCCTCTGGAAAAAAACAATTTCTAAGTCCTTCTTCTAGATAACATAGGAAGGGTTACCCCTAGAATTTCCACTCTTCCATCTCCATCCCTAATAGAGTTTGGGAGTTTATTGGAATCTCACATTGTAATTTTCCCAGCAGGGGCATTATGCTGATTGCTATTAATGATGCCAGCACCTTAGCAAGACATAAACATATGTGTTCACATTAGTTTAATTGAGCATATGCAACTGTCTGAAATAGCACCACTCAGGGGTATTAACCTCTTTAAGAGTAGGCCCAGGGTGGTTTGGGAGTGGACGCCTGTCAGGCAGCACCCTGAGCCCTAGATTGCATAATCTGAAATGTGTAGCTACTTAAAACGACAGGAATCTCAGCCTACTCAGCCTGGGACTATGTCGGCACCTTGCCATACACTTGCAGCTTTACTTGTCAAAGAAGGTCAAAATAAGAGGCACAAGTATGATGAAGGAAAAAATAAACTAAAAGAAAAAGGCCCTTTTCTATCTTGTCACGGTGCATAAGCACGATTCCTTGGGCAGTCACAATGTTCCCCCACCCTTGTCCCCCGTAGTGGAATAGCCCCAGTGAACTGGAGGTTTTGGAAGGGGACAGGGGAGCTGGACATCGCTGCCTTTTTTAAAGGACAAAATCAGTGGACGATTAAAAGGCAGAGAAGATGGGGTAAAGGGAGCGGGGTCTGCGGAAGGCGTGTGCAGGTGCACTGGAGCATTACCTGAAATGGCAACAGATTGTTACCATTATCGGTCCGGAAAGCGTTATCCTCCATCCACGACTTGGAAGTGAGTGGGGCCGCGCGGGGGAACTTGGGCGGCGCGATCACATTGCTGGAGAAGGGCTTTTTGAGCGGCGAGATGGGGTTGAGTGGTGAAGGCACCCCGACGCCCACGCCCACACCCACGCCGACCGCCCGGCGAGGGTCCCGACCTGCCTGCAGGCCACCCCACGGGTTGGACGGCGCGCTCCAGGCGGCGTTCACACTCTGGTGCGTGTTCCAGCTGGACGAGGCGGACGAGGCGGCGGCTGCGGCCGCGGCGGCTGCTGCAGCCGAGGACGACGACGGCTTGCTGGTCATGATGGGCTGGTGGCCGTATGCCGCGGCGGCGCTCCTCTGCGCGTAGGGCGCCTGGCTGGGGCTGGCGGGCGACCGGCGCTGCTGCGGGGGCTGCGCCTGCGGGGGCTGAGCGGACTGCGCGGGCTGTGGCGCGGGTGGCGGCGGCGGCTGGTGGTGCTGGGTCTGCGCCAGGCTGATCTGCGGGGAGAAGGTGCCTCCGAAGACTGGGTTGACGTGGTGCGGGAAGTTCTGGAAGAGCATGGTCCCGTTGACTGGGGTGATACCCTGGAAGAAGCTGTCCTCCACCGCGTTCGTGGTGCCTGTGGACCAGGTGCTGCCGAAGGACGGCGACAGTGACGCGCCCGGCGCCGCGGGTTCCTGCGGCGGCGGCGGCTGCTGAGGCGGCTGGTGGAAACTCAAGCCCGGCAGGAGCGGCGATTCCATCTGCATCTTGTCGGGGCCGTTGGGGGCCGGTGGGGCCGCGGCGGGGCTGAGGGCCGGCACTGCGCTGCTGTCCTCCGGCTTGGGGGTCTCTGAGGAGAGGGGCGTGGACGGGGCTTCGGCTGCGCTGGGCTCGGGCTGGGGCTGCTGCTGCTGCCGCTGCTGCTGGGACTGGGGCTGGGTTTTGCTTTTGTCCATCAGTAAATCATCCTGCATGGTTTGCGCAGCTGAAACGGAAAAAAGAGAGACGCGTTATTGTCAATGTGATCGTTCATGCCCCTCGCTGAAGCGGGCGGGTGTTTTACTTGCGAAAATCCAGTGCCACCGCTACTAGCCAATTGCAATGCAAATCCATAATCTCCCATTTAGAAGAACAGGTCGAGCTGGGGTGGGGGGCTCGCGCAACGTCTCTAAAAATACTGTGAGAGCGTCTTCACCCTTTCTGATGTCTTGGTTCCTTTTCTGTACTAGTGAGAGATGTGCTTATAAGACAGAAAGACAGCAATTTCGCCACGTCTCTTTTCCCTTCACCGGAACTCAGAGCGTTCACCCTGCAATGAGAAACTGATTCTGGTTCCTGTTTTTTCCCAAGCACCACCCTCCCCCAGTTATTTGCATACGTCAATAAATACTGCTGCGTCCTTCAGCAAGGTTAAAAAGACACCGAACACGACCCTTTCTTCCCCGTTCCCTGCTCCGGCACTTTAAAGAAACAGCAATCTTATCCTTCTTGATTAGCAAACCGCCTGCTTGCCTTGATAATTGTTTCACTTAGCAGCAGCGAGCCACGAGGGAGGAAATCCTTGGCATTTGTTAGGAGGAGGTCTCAGCTGCACAATCATTCTCTGGCCTCCCAGTAGCTGCAGCTACTCCATTTTGTTATGAGACATAAAAAACCACTGTTTTAAAGAGGTAAAAATCTACTGAAACGTTTAGAAGTGCTTGCTTCTGGTTACTCTAAGGATTAGGGTTTTTCTGCTTATTCTCCAATTTTCTTGTCTCTAATTCTGCCACACAAGAGATTTCTTGGCATCTCAGTGGTTCAGGTCTCAACAGGAGCCTGAGAATTTCTCTGCAGAGTGGAGAAATGTTCTGGTTGGATTTGAGGTCAGAGAGAGAGCGAGAGAGACACACAGGCACTGACTGTGAGATGGGATGGGGGTGGGGCTTTTAAAAAATCCCTCCGAGAGTTAAGTACAAAGTCAAGATAATTCTGGGGTTCCCAGATTTTCATTTTTGAATCCTCCTGCTGCTGCCTTGGTCACAAGACTTTGGCAAATTTAGAATCCATTCTCTTATCACTAGTATTAGCAGTGAAAGATTATGGTTTAAAGACCCTGAATTACCGTATGCTAGCAAAAGTGTTAAAAATAGCATAGTACAAAGTCCCAAATTCTCATACACTGTAATTATAGTGCATTGCCATCACTGCTTCATTTAGCCATGTAAGGAGCGTATATTTTCCATTTTGCATAGAAGGGCTATATTCACCTCTGCCATACAGCCTGTTTTCTCATTCAAGGATGAAAATAGTAATCACTCAAAACCAGATTTCCACACATATACTTATCACTGAGTTAGCGTGTCCCTTAGAACATGTTAATTGTTTTAAATATATGAATATTACAGTTCTGAGACCCTGAAAACAAATATTTTGAAATGTTAAAGAAGCATATGACCAAACATATAATTATTTTTAGATGATGATTCAGTATAATTGCAACAAAGTTATTAATATATTTAACGCAGTTAATTAACTCAGATACTTGGAGAAGCATCTTTCTCAGGCCACTTGTGAAAGGGCATTTAGATACACACAGAAGCTCTGCCTTTGGATACCCTTATGATAATCACTTGTAAAATAAATGTATTGGACAACAGAGATGCTACTGCTCTTAAATATTATGCAAAATATGTCAGGCCGAGAAATGGAATTAAAAGGAGTTCTACTATTTTATTAAAGACTATCTTTAAAATGGTTATTCTTTTTTTAAATAACTGCCTTTTTATTTTATTATTTTTTGCGTGTGTGAGATCAGCCCTGTGCTAACATCTGCCAATCCTCCTCTTTTTTTTTTTTTCTTGCTGAGGAAGACTGGCCCTGGGCTAACATCCGTGCTCATCTTCCTCCACTTTATATGGGACGCTGCCACAGCATGGCTCGCCAAGCAGTGCGTCCGTGGGCGGCCGGGATTCGAACTAGCGAACCCTGGGCCGCCGCAGTGGAGCGCGTGCACTTAACCGCTTGCGCCACTGGCCACGAGCTGGCCCCCGCCTAATCTTTCATTTTAAAGTTTCATACACAGACGAAATAGTGGGCTCAAAGAAATGCTTCATAGCCACCTTACTCTCCTTTCTACTCCACCCTCCCCTAGCCGTCCCCCCCACCCCCCCTGAAAAATAACCCAATATGATATACATCACAAATTGCCAGCTACTACCAATAAAACCTACTTAAGATTGATTTTATGTTCCTCAGTTCCCTTGGTCTAAAACAATGGCTTTGATCAGTACTGTAAAATATGACACAAAGAGGCAAGCGAAGCTTGGATTCAAAACAGCACAAAGTTCTAATACTGTCAAAGGAAATAGTCATAGAAAGAGACATTTTCATACTCGGTTTAAGCAGTGCTGCAGTAAACCATTATAATCTGGAATTTGAGTCGCTTCCAGTGGGCTAGAATTGTCTTTACAATAGCCATATCATCATGGCTGAAATATGTATTTGATTATAATTTTAATATCACTCAGCTTTTCTGATGCTTATATCAATGCTTTTTGTTAATGCCTTCAGTTTAAACTACATGCTCCTGGTGGAAAAATTAATGCTGTACAAAGCAAAAAAGCCAAAAAGTAAGCTGAACTCAGAATATTTTATAAAGACTATAATTAATATTTTTATTGAATTTTAAAAATTTTATCATACCAGGAACACCCATTCCTCTTCTCAACACTCCTTAAAGACATAAATTTCACTTTCTGCATAAATTCACTCTGTCAAGGTCAAGACCCATCTTTGACAAATAAGACCCTTTTAAACAAAAGGTAAGCAATAGATTAAGATAACATTTACAAAGTTAACATGCAATGTCTCTTAGTAACTGCTTGTATAGTTTATTTGTTTGGGTGGGGGTTTTTTTGTTTTTTTCTTTTTTCTTATTTACAGCAAGTCCGAGAAATAGATACCTCCTTCCCCTCCCCCACCACACACACAATAGATCTTCCTTTACATGCAATCACCCAATCTCAAGTAACAAATTCTTAGTAGCAGTTACCTTTGAGAGTCCAGTTTTTAAGGATCGATAAAATTAAAAAGTGTACAAGTATTTATTTTCTTCTTTCAGGTTGATTATGTGACCGCTCTGGCAAAAGCACTTTGACAACTGTAAGAAGAGAGGGCATGCGCACACAGGGAACTGTGGGGGCTGAAGTCCTTCACAAGGTGCTCTGCCTGACTTAAGCACGTTCAGCCAGGAAAGGAGGAAGCCTCGCAAATACTGATTCCAAGAGGAAGAGGTTGTGCCCGGATTACATTATATCTTCCTAACCAATCTAAACCACGAGTTGTTGAAATAAAAAGGGGGAAAAATAAACTGGTTCGTCAACTTGTTTTAGGAAGCCAGACTGTAGGGCTCAAAATAAATAAACCCAGCAGAGCTACCTTAAATGGTATTAGAATGGTAATGACTGGGTAGCAATAAGAACTCTACCCAAGAGAAAGAGATTAGGGTGGGGAAAAATTAAAAAGGGAAGGGGAGACTACTGGGGAAAGATAAATACTTAAAATCTGACCATACTTAAAAGAAACATTTCTAATATTATAGAATGAAAAATACCTTAATATTAAATGTGATATTAACCTTGGAGGTCAGGTAAAAAATAGGTTTCAGTCACAAATTTTTGACATCTTTTCCACCAAGATTTCTTTGTATTTCAGTTTTCGATGAAGGCACAAATCATTTAAGATTCTACTTGATACGCTGTGAATCAACTCATCTCCTTATCTTACTTGTTAAAATGAAAGTTTACTTTGCATTATTCATATAGTGATCAAACAAAATTCAACTCTTTTAAGCTAAAATAATGGTGAAATAGTAAAAAATAATTTGACATGTTTAGTGTTTCACTGCATAGGACAGTGACATCTTTATTTAAGACAGAAAATAGACACAGTTTCTATACAAAAAATTTTTTTTCAGTGTACACTTTTCCTATCTTAACTTCATGACTCCAAGGCTGGAATCTCACAACATATTAATATCAACTATTATTATCTGTAGCTTCTGAGAGCAACAGTTCAACTACGAGTTTGCTCACATAGGCAAAAGATATTATTTCTTGTGGGATTTGGTTCAGTGCCATTCACCCAAGGGGTTCAGAGTAAATGTCAGTTGATGACTATCCTGATTGAACTTGCAACTAAAAATGTTAAGCAACATTTAAAACTGTCTTAATTTTCTATTTCCCTTCTTCACCAATTGGAACTAAAATATTACCAGAGACTACCAATTTCCAGCAGTTAGTAGTCTTTTGTTTCTAGTTATTTCTAAGGAAAAAACCAAAACAATTTAAGAGGAAAAACATCATTTTGAACCAATCTGCCAAAAGTTCTTTTTAAAACAACTAAATGGTCTTCTTATTCCTACTGTGAACTTAGCTTATATTCCCCATTTTTTCTCTTCTTCTACCCTCCTAAAGAAAGCTTCACTTCTGCCAACGTGCTATGCTTATCATTTGCATTCCAGAGTCTGTAAGGATTAACTCAAAGTTAATCTTATTCCTGAAGACTTCTCTAACCTACCAAACTTCTACATTTTCAAGTACTTCAATTAAGTAAAAAAAAAAAAAAAAAAGTTTCTTTATAAAATCCTAACAAGGACTTGTTTTAAGAAATAGATTTTTAAAATTATTTTAAGTTAATATGTCAAGATTTTACTGGTAAAGTACAAATTCTTATGTTGTTCAGGTGTGCTTGAAAATGGTTTACTTGGGCATTTATTAATAGACCTGACCCCAAGTGCCGGTCTATTAATAATTCGCACAATGAAGAACAATAAATTTTGGCCCTGACCATTGATGAATGATAATAAATAATTAGCACTGCCCACACAATGTAATTTTATTGTATTTGAAAATGAACTAATCTCTGCTCTTCCTTTCCTAAAATGAGCACTCAAATATAAAAAGAAAATGACTCAAACATAAATATCAAGGTATAAATAAATAC